CTGCCCTGCGCCCGGCAGCCTCCTGCCTGCACCTCCTGCCCTTCCCCAGTCCCGTCCTCTGTCTCCCTTCCAGAGTTCCTCACTCGCAGAGCGCTTTCCCGCGTGGTTGCTGAACGCCACGTTAAGGGGCGTTGGGCATGGGGGGTGGGGGCAGCGCTGGGGCAGGGGCCGGGTCCAGGCCCGTGCATGGCGCCCTCACCCGTCCTGTCCCACCAGGAAGCAGGTCCTGGGGACCAAGGTGGACGCGGAGCGGGACGGCGTGAAGGTGCCCACCACGCTGGCCGAGTACTGCGTGAAGACCAAGGTGCCAGCGCCCGACGAGGGCTCGGACCTCTTCTACGACGACTACTACGAGGACGGCGAGGCGGAGGGGGAGGCCGACAGCTGCTTCGGGGACGACGAGGACGACTCGGGCACCGAGGAGTCCTGACACCGCCTGAATAAATGCGCAGAGTTCACCTCACTAGGGCCGGACCCGTATGGATCCTTAGACCACAGACTACCTCACGGAGGTTTTGTGTTGCTCCCCTCCTCTGGTTGTTCCGTTTGGCTCTTTTTCTCCTTCCCCATGTTTGTTCTGGGTTTTCATGTGCTTCAGAGAAGAGGGGCTGCCCCACCGCCACCCATGTCACTCGGGACTCCGTGGACGGGGCCCAGCTTGGGCGTGGCCGGCCCACCTGTCCTCTCGGGAGGGGAGCAGAGTCCCGGCCTCTGCCCAGGCGCCCTGGCTTCCAGACTGGCTGCAGCCCAGAGGAGTCACAGGGAGCGCAGCCGGGAACGCGGGTGGGCGGCTGCCGGCCTGAGGGTCCCGGCCCAGCGTGTCAGCCCCAGGGCCCGGAGCCACATCCCAGCACGAGTGGACAGATTCTCCGTGGCCGACTCTTCTCTCTGCTTTGGTTTGTTTTGAATCTAAATAAAACTACTTTATGAGAAGCCACAGAAGCTCTGCGGGGAGGGAGAGGCAGCCTGCAGGTCCATGAGTGACTGCACACGGCCAGCCTGCTGGGACCCAGCTGCGCCTGGTGTGGGTCCGGGAGGCCTGTCTCAGGAGGCCTGGGAAGCAGCCGGTTCCCACAGCCCGTAGCTCCCAAACTTGGGTCAGATGGGCCGGGGCGGCATCCCCAAGCCTGCAGTGAACTCAGAGTTCCTCCCTGTGACCAGGTGCGTTTGAGGGGATGGGAGCTGCCTCTGCAGGCATCCAGCAAAGCATCATCCCAGGGCCACAGCCGCCTGGGCGTCGTTCCTGGCACCTTGGCCACAAATGCCCCCATCAGCACTCCGGGGACGGCTCAAGGCCACAGATTGCCCCTGTGAACGCTATGGGGGCTCCGTCGCCGTCCAGGCAGACCCTCGGGGTGGGAGAGCCGTGGCCCTGGGCACGCAGGGCAGGCGCCTCGCATCCTGGCGTCAGGAAGCCCCTGGAATCGTTTTGTTTCATGGGGGAAAGCTTGGCGCCCTTCCCTGCCGTCCTAGGGTGTGCAGCCTCCCAGGAGCCTGCCTGTGTTGAGGTGTCCGGAAGCTCCTGGCCTTGCTTTTGGGCAGCTGAAAAGCCTGTAGTGGCTGGATTCACGGTGTAGGAGTTGTGAGGATGAGCTTTCCCAGTTCAGACAAAATGGGGCTGCATTGGTTGGAGGTTGGGTATCCCTGCCAGGTGGGCATGGGGTGCAGAAGGGCACTCGGGTGACCTGTGAGGCCCCCCTGGGCCCTGCAGGGTGCCTGTCCTGTGGCTTCTGAGCTGCACCCTGGCTGCACCTTGGCAGACGCCACATCCCTTTTCCTGGGCTCACATTTCTGGCTTGTCTTAGACCCAGGCCACCGCCCGGCCTGTCTGATGTGGGTTTGAGGGGAGTCTGGCTTGATGGTGGGCCCCACTGCCTCCGTTGCTCCCGGTGTAAGCCGTCCGTCCAGTTTACCTCGTCCACGGGGCACTGCGGTGCTGCTAAGCAGTGAGCCCTGCACGGGAGCCCAGGTGTGTTACCCTGCGGGTACCGACACATTCCACCGTTACGGGGGCAGACAAGATGGCCGGCCTCACCTCTCCCGGCTCCAGGCCGCGCCACGCCACTGTGCCTAGTCCACTTGAAGGACCCAGGGTGGTGTCACCTGACTGCACCACCGGCCTGGTGTTCTCAGGCCAGCCAGAGGCATGAGAGGCCCTCAGGACCACACCTGGTGTCCGCCCCTGTTGTGAATAAAGTTTTATTGGCACAGCCACACCCAATTTTCAGGATAGTCCCTAGCTGCTTTTTGAGACTGAGTTTCACTCTTGCTGCCCAGGCTGGAGTGCAGTGGTGTCATCTCAGCTCACTGCAACCTCCACCTCCCAGATTCAAGCGATTCTCCTGCCTCAGCCTCCCGACTAGCTGGTATTACAGGCATGTACCACCACGCCTAGCTAATTTTGTATTTTTAGTAGAGATGGGGTTTCTCCATGTAAGGCTGGTCTCGAACTCCTGACCTCTGGTGATCCACCTCCCTCGGCCTCCCAAAGTGCTCGGGTTACAAGTGAGAACCACTGCACCTAGCCTGCTTTTATTTATTTTTTTGAGACAGTCTTGCTCTGTTGCCCAGGCTGGAGTGCAGTGGTGTGATCTCGGCTCACTGCAACCTCCACCTCTCCTGGGTTCAAGAGATTTTCCCGTTTCAGCCTCCCGAGTAGCTGGGACTATAGGCAGGTGCCACCACGCCCAGCTAATTTTTGTATTTTTAGTAGAGACAGGGTTTCACCATGTTGATCAGGCTGGTTTCGAACTCCTGACCTCAGTTGATCCACCTGGCTTGGCCTCCCACAGTGCTGGGATTACAGGCCTGAGCCACCATGCCTGGCCACATATACATATATTTATCATAGAAACAGACCTTGCTATGTGGCCCCATCTGGTTTTACACTTTTATTTCTTTTCTTTTTTTTTTTTTTGAGCCGGAGTTTCGCTCTTGTTACCCAGGCTGGAGTGCAATGGCGTGATCTCGGCTCACCGCAACCTCCGCCTCCTGGGTTCAGGCAATTCTCCTGTCTCAGCCTCCTGAGTAGCTGGGATTACAGGCACGCACAACCATGCCCAGCTAATTTTTTGTATTTTTAGTAGAGACGGGGTTTCACTATGTTGACCAGGATGGTCTCGATCTCTTGACCTTGTGATCCACCCGCCTCGGCCTCCCAAAGTGCTGGGATTACAGGCTTGAGCCACCGCGCCCGGCTACTTTTATTTCTTGATACAGGGTCTTGCTGTGTCACCCCGGCTGGAGTGCAGTGGCACGATCATAGCTCACTGGAGTCTCAGCCTGGGCTCCAGCGATCCTCCCATCTCAGCCTCCAGAAGTGCTGGGGCTACAGGCGGGAGCCACCGTGCCCAGCCTCATGGTGTTTACTCTTTTTGCCACCCTATTTGCTGCGTACCCTAAAACTTCACTTGTCGTCTGTGTGAAATACAAATTTTACTGGGCACCCCTATCTTTAGTTGCTAGGTCTGGTCACGCTGACACTGATGGGCCTTCCTCCCGGGTTGTGAGGATTGAATGAGGCAGAAATGTGAGTGCACTCTGAACGGCTGTGCTCCTTAAACCCACCCGGCTTCACGCTACTGGTGGGAGCTCCCAGGCCCCAGAGCATGGCAGGTGAGGGCAGCCTTTGCTGATCAATTTCTTCCGGCCACCGCTCCTTTAATTCTTAGAAGTTACTTATTTTTCACACAGGGTCTTGCTCTGTTGTCCGGGTGGAGTGCAATGGCACAATCACGGCTCACTGCAGCGTCGACCCCCTGGGCTCAAGCAATCCTGCCTGTCTCCCAAAGTGCTGGGATTACAGATGTGAGCCACCACCTCCGGCCAGTATTACTACTCATGAAAACCAAAAGCTGAAACAGCCCAAATACCCGTCCCCCGGTGACTGGATAAACACAGTGTGCTCTGTCCCTCAGGCTGGAGAGCAGTGGTGTGATCTCTGCTCACCGCAACCTCCGCCTCCCAGGTTCAAGTGATTCTCCGGCCTCAGCCTCCCAAGGAGCTGGTACTACAGGCACCTACCACCATGCCCGCTGATTTTTTTGTATTTTTTAGTAGAGACCGGGTTTCACCATGTTGGCCAGGCTGGTCTCGATGTCTTGACCTTGTGATCCACCCGCCTCGGCCTCCCAAAGTGCTGGGATTACAGGCATGAGCCACTGGTCCAGCCATGAAGGACATTCTCTGCATGTTTTATCACAATAACAGAAAAGGGGCAAAGAAAAAACTCGGCTGGGGCGCTGGGGCTCACGCCTGTAATCCTAGCACTTTGGGAGGTCGAGGTGGGTGGATCACCTGAGGTCAGGAATTCAAGACCAGCCTGGCCATCATGGTGAAACTCCATCTTTAAAAAAAAAAAAAAAAAAACTTACTGATAGATAAACAACACTTTATATTAAACATCAGAAATTTGTCAACGGCTGGGTGCGGTGGCTCACTCCCGTAACCCCAACATTTTGGGAGGCTAAGGCAGAGGAATTGCTTGAGCTAAGCTCAGGACCAGCCTGGGCGATGTGGCGTAACCCTGTCTCTACAAGTAATTTTAAAATTAGCCACACATCTCACGCCTGTAATCTCAGCACTTTGGGAGACCAAGGCAGGCAGATCACCTGAGGTCAAGAGTTTGAGACCAGCCTGGCCAAGATGGTGAAACCCCATATCTACTAAAAAAAACCCCAAAAATTAGCCGGGTGTGGTGGTGCATGCCTATAATCCCAGCTACTCGGGAGGCAGAGGCAGGAGAATCTCTCGAACTCGGGAGGTGGAGGTTGCAGTGAGCCAAGATAGCGCCATTGCACTCCAGCCTGGGTAACGAGCGAAACTCAGTCTCAAAAAAAAAAAAAATAAAATGTTGGTAGTTTTTCAGGTGTGATCATGGTCGTGTGGCTTCATCTTGAGTCCTGTTTGAGAAACACTTTCTAACGTGCTCATGGGTGGAGGGGTTTTGGGTGTGTGGCTGTGGGTGGAGCTGTGACTGTCACCTCCCCCACAGGAAGCCATTGGGACAGGGTTGGGGGGTTGCTGGCACACGTGCTGGGTCTCTGCAGCGGCATGGAGGCCTGCATGTCTTCACTGCTGGTGTTGGCGCTGGAGGCCCTGTTGACAGGTGAGTGGGAGCCAGAGTGCAGGGGGATACTGAGGCCCAGAGCTCTTGGGGGGGGGGTCCCTGGATGGGGGGTTGGGCGTGGGTGGCAGCATCCTGGACGTAAGAGTGGAGATTCGTCATTGCTTGGAGGGGAGACAGGCCAGGGGCGTCCCAAGCTCCTCACACTTCACCCCGAGCTGGCGTTCCAGGAGCATTGGGAAGTACGGCCATCCACCCACTCACCTCGTCCTTCCTCCATCACACCCGAGGTGCAGAGAGGAAACTGAGGCCCAGCTAGGAAATGCCCCACCTAGGACTGCCCAGCTGGGAGTGCAGAGCTCCGCCGGCTGCCTCCTGTAACCGAAGGCTTGGCTGGGACTAGGTGCCCGGCAGTGAGAGAGGAGGGAGGTGGGCGGTGGTTCCCGCGCTGGCTGGACTGGGTGAGGGGGGCTCCTTGGTGAGCTGGGGACCTAAGCAGATGGGTGGAGGTAGAGAGCCAGCCATTCATCCATCAGCCATCCATCATCCTCCCATTCTTCTTTTTATTTTTTTTATTATTATTATTTTGAGATGGAGTTTCGCTCTTGTTGTCCAGGCTGGAGTGCAATGGCGCAATCTCGGCTCACCGCAACCTCTGCCTCCTGGGTTCAGGCAATTCTCCTGCCTCAGCCTCCTGAGTAGCTGGGATGACAGGCACATGCCAACATGCCCAGCTAATTTTTTGTATTTTTAGTAGAGACGGGGTTTCACCATGTTGACCGGGATGGTCTCGATCTCTTAACCTCGTGATCCACCCGCCTCGGCCTCCCAAAGTGCTGGGATTACAGGCTTGAGCCACCGCGCCCGGCCGCCTTTTTTTTTTTTTTAAGACGGGGGTTTCACCGTGTTGGTCAGGCTGGCCTTGAACTCCCGACCTCAGGTGATCCACCCGCCTTGGCCTCCAGAGTGCTTGGATTACAGGTGTGAGCCACCACACCCGGCCCATTCTTCTTTTTTCCTCCCATGGGTCCATCATCCCTCCCTGCTTCCCTCCCTTCACCCCTCCTTCCTTTCCTCCATCATCCATTCCTTCTTGCTCCCATCCACCCACCATCTCTCCCTCCTTCCCTCCTTTCTCCCATCCCTCCTTCCTTCCTCCCTCTGTCCCGCCTCCTCTTCTTCCTTCCTGCTGGGTATCCCTCCGTATTTGCAGTCCATGCACTGTCCTAGGCCTGCTGTAGCCGATACAGGCCTGGGGTCTGCCCTCCTGTCTGCCTGGGAGAGACAGGCCACAGTCTCGGAGGGGCCGGTGCTAGGAGGCTGGCAGAGAGGGCCAGAGGGCGGCTGGGGGGCCTCTGCGGGGAGAGGTGCAGAAACCGAGGGAGGAAGCCGGGCAGGGGGTGGGTAGGCGAGCAGGCAGCTAGGTGGGTGCGGGCGGCTTGCAGGCCTAGCAGGGGGGACAGAGAGGCAGTGAGCAGGGCCACGTGGGGCTTGGGGGTCATCAGTGGGTGTTTTTTGTTTTTGAGATGGAGTTTCACTCTTGTTGCCCAGACTGGAGTACAGTGGTGTGGTCTCAGCCTACTGCAACTTCCGTCTCCTGAGTTCAAGTGATTCTCCTGCCACAGCTTCCCGAGCAACTGGGATTACAGGCGCTCACCAACACGCCCAGCTAATTTTTGTATGTTTGGCAGAGACAGGGTTTCACCACGTTGTTCAGGTTGGTCTAGAACTCCTGACCTCAAGTGATCCACCCACCTCGGCCTCCCAAAGTGCTGGGATTACAGGCGTGAGCCACACGGCACCTTGCCCCTAAGTTGGGGGTGGATTTCTAAAGCATGATGGGGAATTGGAGGGAGATTTTGGTCTGATTTGCATTAGGTTATAAAATCGATCCTTTTAAATTCATGATTGGTTTAAAATAATTTTTTAATTATTGGGAAATAATTCATGCACTATTCCTCTATTTAAAGAGTACACTTCAGCATTGATAATGAAGCAGAATTTTTTTTTTTTTTTGAGACAGAGTTTCGCTCTTGTTACCCAGGCTGGAGCGCAATGGTGCGATCTCGGCTCAATGAAACCTCCGCCTCCTGGGTTCAGCTCAACGCAACCTCCGCCTCCTGGGTTCAGGCAATTCTGCCTCAGCCTCCTGAGTAGCTGGGATTACAGGCACGCCCCACCATGCCCAGCTAATTTTTGTATTTTTAGTAGAGACGGGGTTTCACCATGTTGACCAGGATAGTCTTTATCTCTTGACCTCGTGATCCGCCCACCTCAGCCTCCCAAAGTGCTGGGATTACAGGCGTGAGCCACTGCACCCGGCCTGCAGAAATTTTTTTTTTTTTTTTTTAAAAGAATACACTTCTTGCCCGGCCAGGTGGCTTACGCCTGCAATCCAAACATTCCACGAGGTGGCTCTGACTTCACGTTTGAAGAACTTCGTGGGTGGCTGCCCTGCCTCACATTCCTACCCACAGTGTTTGAGGAGACTGTTTCTCTGCTGGTGAGAATCCAGTTTTTGCTTATTTATTTTGAGACGGAGTGCAATGGCACCATCTTGGTTCACCGCAGCCTCCACCCCCAGGCTCCAGCGATTCTCCTGCCTCAGCCTCCTGAGTAGCTGGGACCACAGGCACCCACAACCACACCCGGTTAAGTGTTTAAAAAGTTTTTTTGGTCAGGCATGGTGGCTCACACCTGTAATCCCAGCACTTTGGGAGGCCGAGACAGGTGAACCACAAGGTCAGGAGTTCAAGACCAGCCTGACCAACATGGTGAAACCCTGTCTCTACTAAAAATACAAATATTAGCTGGACATTGTGGCATGAGCCTGTAATCACAGGGAGGCTGAGGCAGGAGAATTGCTTGAACCTGGGAGGCTGAGGTTGTGGTGAGCTGAGATCACTGCATGGCACTCCAGCCAGGGCAACAGGGCAAGACCCTATCTCAAAAAAAGGAAAATAGAGCCGGGCTCGGTGGCTCACACCCATAATCCCAGCACTTTCGGAGTCCAAGGCGGGTGGATCACAAGGTCAAGAGATTGAGACCATCCTGGTCAACATGGTGAAACCCCGTCTCTACTAAAAATACGAAAAATTAGCTGGGCGTGGCGGTGCGTGCCTGTAATCGCAGCTACTCGGGGCGCTGAGGCAGGAGAATCGCTTGAACCCAGGAGGCGGAGGTTGCGGTGAGCCGAGATTGTGTCACTGCACTCCAGCCTGGGCAATAAAAGCAAAACTCTGCCTCAAAAAAATTTTTTTTGTGGAGAAGCTGGGCACAGTGGCTCATGCCTGTGAGGCTGAGGTAGATGGATTGCCTGAGGTCAGGAGTTTGAGACCAGCCTGGCCAACATAGTGAAACCTCATCTCTACTAAAAATACAAAAATTAGCCAGGCATGGTGTTGTGCGTCTGTAGTCCCAGCTACTCAGGAGGCTGAGTGAAGAGAATCACTTGAACCCGGGAGGCAGAGGTTGCGGTGAGCTGAGATCGTGCCACTGCACTCCAGCCCGGGCAACAACAGCAAGACTCCGTCTCAAAAAAATAAATAAAGGTTTTGTAGAGACCGGGTCTTGCTGTGTTGCCCAGGCTGGTCTTGAACTCCTGGCCTTGAGTGACCCTCCCTCCTTACCTTCCCAAAGTTCTGGGACCACAGGCCACCTGCACCTGGCCTGATGCACATTTTGAAGGACTCCTCTGGCTGTGGGGCCCAATGGGTCCTGGGGAGGTCCTGGAGAGGGGGTTGGGAGGGTGGGGGGTGATGGGAGGGACCAAGGGCCGCCCCCACATGTCAGCCTGGAAGTTTCAGGGAACACTGGGGTTGTCATCAAGGTGGCGCATCTGTTCAGGGTCTTCTGAGCTGGACAAGGACAGTCTCAGCAGGGGTGGGAACACGCAGCCCCAACCTGGCTCTTCTTCCCCGCCCCGGCAGGCAGCTCCTTTGCAGCCCAGATCATCGGGGGCCGGGAGGTGGCCCCCCACTCACGCCCATACATGGCCTCGCTGCAGAGGAACGGCTCCCACCTGTGCGGGGGGGTCCTGCTGCACCCGAAATGGGTGCTGACGGCCGCACACTGCCTGGCCCAGGGGTGAGTACCCTGCCCCACCCACCCCAGGGGTCCGAGGGATCCATCCCACGGCCCCCATTCTCCACAGAGGGTGGGTTCTGGTAGATTTAGGCCAATTGTGGGAGCCCCTCCCCTCCCGGTGACAGCCTAGGCAAGTCTAAGTGACCTGCGGCTGTGGGACTCCTGGAGAAGGTCTACTCTCAGCAAGAGGCACTGGCAGAGCCTGGATCCTTCCACAGCTGAGCCACGGTCCTGGTGTGGACGGAGCGGGTTGTGTCTGAGCCTGGATCCTGTTACGGCTGAGCCACAGTCCCAGTGTAGACGGAGCGGATTGTGTCTCAGCCTGGATCCTGTTGTGGCTGAGCCACGGTCCTGGTGTGGACGGAGTGGGTTGTGTCTCAGCCTGGATCCTTCCATGGCTGAGCCACGGTCCTGGGTGGATGGAGTGGGTTCTGTCCCAGCCTGGATCCTTCCACGGCTGAGCCACAGTCCCAGTGTGGACGGAGTGGGTTGTGTCTGAGCCTGGATCCTGTTACAGCTGAGCCATGGTCCTGGTATGGATGGAGCGGGTTGTGTCTGAGCCTGAATCCTGTTATGGCTGAGCCACGGTCCTGGTGTGGATGGAGTGGGTTGTGTCTCAGCCTGGATCCTTCCACGGCTGAGCCACAGTCCCAGTGTGGACAGAGTGGGTTGTGTTTGAGCCTAGATCCTGTCATGGCTGAGTCACAGTCCTGGTGTGGACGGAGCAGGTTGTGTCTGAGCCTGGATCCTTCCACAGCTGAGCCACGGTCCTGGTGTGGATGGAGTGGGTTGTGTCCGAGCCTGGAACCTTCCACGGCTGAGCTGCAGTCCCAGTGTGGACGGAGCGGGTTTTGTCTGAGCCTGAATCCTGTCATGGCTGAGTCACAGTCCTGGTGTGGACGGAGTGGGTTGTGTCTGAGCCTGGATCCTTCCACGGCTGAGCCACGGTCCTGGTGTGGACGGAGCAGGTTGTGTCTGTCCACTCACCTGCTGATGGATACAACTTTGGGAACTCTGCACTGGGGAAGGAGGGTCAGGTGGGGTGTTCGCCACCTGATGCCAGGAGGACGAAGCGGGCCTTTGAGGGTGGTGCAGGAATTGACCTGGTTCCCCAGAATTGGGAAGCCACTAAATGACCCATCCTGCAGTTGTTTTACCTCAGTACTGGCCAGTCATACACAGCCCAGAGCTGCCTGACCTCAGGACTGGCCAGTCCTACACAGCCCAGGTCAAGATGGTCAAAATAACTAAAAGGGATCTGCCAGCTTTTGTAACTTAAAAGTCTAGGAGGACGTCCAGCTTCAGGTGTGGCTTGATCCAGGTGCTCACAGGAGGCGCTCTGGAGCCTCCTGTGTGAGGACATCCACTTCCTGGTGTGGACGGAGTGCGTTGTGACTGCCTCCCAGCTCTGCCGCATGCCAGAAAGCCCCTCTATCAAAGTCGCAAGGATTGAGCCCTCAGTCCCGTGGAAAGTGAGCTTGGCTCTCTATAGTTTGGGCACGGTTAGGAGGATTGACACATGCCAAACTGTGCAGATCACTGTGGCTGAGCCTGGGGCCCCACGTGAAGGAAGTTCCCAGGGCTGGTTTTCGTGAGGCGGCAGGTTTGGGGTTGGCATTTTCAGACACACAGCTCTTGCCTGGGGCCAGGGCCGGGCAGAAGTCTGGGGCAGGGGTGAGAGCAGAGAGGGCTTCCTGGAGGAGGTGGGTCGAAAAGACACAAGGAAGGGCTGGTGAGAGCCAAGGCCTGTGACAGGCTGCGGCCGTGAGTGATGGCCGCGGATGGAGTCGTCCATGGTGGGCCAGGCAGCAGCACCCTGATCTCCTCTGTCCTCAGGACGGCCGGGCTGAGGTTGGTGCTGGGGCTGCACGCCCTGGACGGCCCCGGCCTCACCTTCCACATCAAGTCCATCGTCCAGCACCCTCGCTACAGGCCGCCCCCTGCCCTGGAGAATGACCTCGCTCTGCTTAAGGTGCGCGGGGCTGGGCGGTGGGAGAGCTCAGCACCCCACCGTCCCCCGCCGCCGGCCCGACCCCCCTCACCTGCCCCTTCCTGTCCCTCGCAGCTGGAAGGGAAAGTGAGGCCCAGCCGGACCATCCGGCCCCTGGCCCTGCCCGGTAAGCCGCAGGTGGTCGCCGCGGGGGCCCGGTGCAGCGTGGCTGGCTGGGGGCTGACCCGGCAGGGTGGGCACCTGGCCCGGGCGCTGCGGGAGCTGGACGTCCAGGTGCTGGACACGCGCATGTGTAACAACAGCCGCTTCTGGAGCGGAAGCCTCTTCCCCAACATGGTCTGCCTGGCGGCTGCCTCCAAAGACCAAGCTCCCTGCAAGGTGATGGCGCCCGGCTGGGGTGGGGTGAGGGGAGGTGGGCATGCCTGGGGGGAGGGGGGAGGGGGGAGGGGAGGGGAGCAGGCCTCGGGGGAGGGCCGGGCCCTGGCTCTCCCGGTCTCTGGGGAGTCCTGTTGGGGCTGGGGGAGCAGAATGTGGGGAGGGCCGGGCCCTGACTCTTCCCATTCTCTGGGGAGTCTCAGCCCCTGTGGGCGGGGCGGGGAGGCACTGGTGTGGGTCCCGTTTCTCAGGCACAGACGCTGAGGCTCAGGGAGGTTTTGCGACCATCGGGATGCAGCACAGCCCTGGCTTGTGCTCCAGCAAAGACGACCGTGTGGGAGGAAGGAGCAGAGTTCACAGGGCCAGAGGGAGGGGGTGGGACGCACGTATCTGGGAGCAGCTCCTGTGTCTCCTGAGCCCCGGGTGATAGGCTCGGCCCGCTTCCCTGGGTGGGCTCAGAGGCTAACCTGAGGCTTCTTGGCACCCCTACAGGGTGACTCAGGCGGGCCCCTGGTGTGTGGCAAACGCCAGGTGCTGGCCGGGGTCCTGTCCTTCAGCTCCAAGATCTGCACCAACACCTTCAAGCCCCCGGTGGCCACCGCTGTGGCACCTTACCTGCCCTGGATCAGAAGGGTCACTGGCTGATGCGGCCTGATGCCCTGGGGTGATGAGGACCCCCCCAACTCTCTCCAGGGGACCCTGCCCCTTGGAGGTGCAGCAGAATTGGGGGAATGGGTGGGAGGGGCAGGGAGGGGACCAATAAATCATAATGAAGCAACACTCAGAGCCTGCCCGGGTCCAGCTCACCTCTGCCCATGCTGCCTGGGTGGCCTCTGACAGACTTGTTTCCCTGCTTTAAAAACGGATGTTATGGCTGGGCGAGGTGGCTCATGCCTGTAATCCCAGCACTTTGGAGGCCGAGGCGGGTGGTTCACCTGAGGTCAGGAATTCAAGACCATCCTGGCCAACATGGTGAAACCCCGTCTTTAAAAAAAAATAAAATAAAATTAGCCAGGTTCATGAGCCAGGCGTGGTGGCTCACGCTTGTAATCCTAGCACTTTGGGAGGCTGAGGCGGGTGGATCACCTGAGGCCAGGAGTTCAAGACCAGCCTGACCAATATGGTGAAATCCCATCTTTAAAAAAAAAAAAAAAAAAAAAAAGAATTAGCCAGGTTCTCCTTGTGTTCCTAGATATAAAAGAATTTTTTGGCCGGGCGCGGTGGCTCAAGCTTGTAATCCCAGCACTTTGGGAGGCCGAGGCGGGTGGATCACGAGGTCGAGAGATCGAGACCATCCTGGTCAATATGGTGAAACCCCGTCTCTACTAAAGATACAAAAAAATTAGCTGGGCATGGTGGCACGTGCCTGTAATCCCAGCTACTCAGGAGGCTGAGGCAGGAGAATTGCTTGAACCCAGGAGGCGGAGGTTGCGGTGAGCCGAGATCGCGCCATTGCACTCCAGCCTGGGTAACAAGAGCGAAACTCCATCTCTTTTTTTTTTTTTTTTTTTGAGACGGAGTTTTGCTCTTATTACCCAGGCTGGAGTGCAATGGCGCGATCTCGGCTCACCGCAACCTCCGCCTCCTGGGTTCAGGCAATTCTCCTGCCTCAGCCTCCTGAGTAGCTGGGATTACAGGCACACGCCACTATGCCCAGCTAATCTTTTGTATTTTTAGTAGAGACGGGGTTTCACCATGTTGACCATGGTTGGTCTCGATCTCTCAACCTCGTGATCCACCCGCCTCGGCCTCCCAAAGTGCTGGGATTACAGGCTTGAGCCACCGCGCCCGGCCGAAACTCCATCTCAAAAAAAAAAAAAAAAAAAAAAAAAAAGAATTTTTTTAAAAAATCAGGCAGGCATGGTCGTGTGCGCCTGTAATCCCAGCTAGTAGGAGAATCATCTAAACCCAGGTGGCGGAGGCTGCAGTGAGCAGAGATCACGCCATTGCACTACAGCCTGGGCGACAGAGAGACTCCATCTCAAAAAAAAAAAAAAAAAAATGGGGAGACTGTGGCTCACAAGGCTTCTCCCAGGAGGGGGCGGCATCGGCAAGGACGGGCAGCGGGTCAGCAGGGGTGCGTGGGCTGACCTGGGTGGGGCGGCGGGTCAGCAGGGGTGCGTGGGGCCGGCCTGGGTGGGGCAGCGGGTCAGCAGGGGTGCGTGGGCCGGTCTCCCCAGAGGCTCCTGGGGCTCGGTGCCGAACAGTATCTGGGGATCTTTTGTTCTAGCAACAGCTTTATCAAATCAGCCTGTAACTCACAGCAAACAAGTCAGCACGTAAAGTGCATTCACAGAGATGGACCATGACCTGTCATCCCAGCACCCCGAAAAGAGGCCCATCCCCATTGTCATCCCGGCACCCCAAATAGAGGTCCCATCCCCACTGTCATCCCAGTACCCCAAAAGGAAGCCCTGTCCCCATTATCCTGGCACCCAAAAAAAAGGCCCCATCCCCACTGTCAATCCAACACCCCAAAAGGAAGCCCCATCCACACTGTCATCCTGGGACCCCGAAAAGAGGCCCCATCCCCACTGTCATCCCAGCACCCCGAAAGGAAGCCCCTCCTCACCGTGATCCCATCACCCGAAAAGGAGGTTCGTCCTGCTCAGCCGTCACTCCCCAGCCCTGGCACCCACACATCCCCTTCCTGTCTCTGGATGGGCCCGTGCGACATTGCATAGAAAAATACAGAATTAACCGGGCCTGGTGGCGGGTGCCTGTAATCCCAGCCGTGGGGGAGGCTGAGGCAGGAGGGTCACTGAAATCCAGGAGGCAGAGGTTGCAGTGAGCCACCTCTCAAGAAATGGGATCCCGCTGCATGGCCTTCTGTGTCTGGCGTCTCCCACAGAGCATGGCGTGCTCAAGCTGCACCCTTGTGGCCTCCGGGGTCGAGCCCTGCTCCCGCTCGGGGGTGGCGCTCCAGCTGGTGGAGGCCTTGCTGCGTTTGTGGGCGCTTCGGTGGGCGGCTCCATCTGTGTCCGTCCCTGTGGAGCTCTGCGGGCAGCCGCCTCTGTGCGCCCTGGTACGGGCCTGCATCCGGATTAGCCCCTGGGAGTGGCATCTCCGCGTCTGCGGTGACTGTTTCACCACCACCCTGTTCCTGCAGAAGCTTTCATTTCACAGGGAACACTTCCGAACACGGCGGAGTCGAACGCACCACAGCCCTGTGGGCCGGCCACCACCCAGGCTCTGACCATGCAGCGGGGACTGGCTCCAGGCGAGTTCGCCCCTTCCAGGGTCCCTCCCGCCTGGGAAGCCAGTGAGGGGGGCCCAGGACGACTCCCCAGGCACCTGGCTGTGGCCGGACCGGCCGGGGCAGGGCTGTTTCAGCTTCGCTTCTCTCCTCTCTCCCTCCCTCCTTTAAATTTTTTGAGACAGAGGCTCGCTCTGTCGCTCTGTCGCCAGGCCGGAGTGCAGGGGGCGATCTCAGCTCCCTGCAGCCTTCGCCGCCAAGGTTCAAACATTCTCCCGACTCAGCTGCCCGCCACCACGCCCGGCTAATTTTTGTATTTTTCGTAGAGGCGCAGCTTGGCTGCGTTGGCCAGGATGGTCTCGATCTCTTGACCTTGCGACCTGCCCGCCTCGGCCTCCCAAAATGCTGGGATTACAGGCATGAGCCCCTGCACCTTGCCTTTCTCCCTCCCTCGTCCCTCCTTTACCCCCTTCCCTCGTCCCCCCACCCCACATCCCCGTCTTGCGCTTTGGAACGTGGGCAGATCGAGGGCAGATGGAGCCGGATGCCATGTGTGCGGTGACACGTGCAGACACGCGTGCTCCTGGAACCCCTGGCGAGGGCTGCGGTGCGTGGCACCCAGGAGAGTCCCCGGAAGCTGTTCACGGTGGCGAAACTTGACTTTTTGCATCTTTTGTGCAAACGCAGTGCGGCCTGCGGGAGGTAGAGCCTGTGGGCTGCAGCCTGGCCTCGCTTTCCCACCCCAAGGGACCCAGTGGATGCCCCTCCCCTTCTTCTCCTGTAATCCAAATGCCCAGAGAGGAGTTTGCACATCAAACAGCCAGGGCCTGCTCTTGCTTTTCTTTCCTTTGGTCGTGCAAAGGTTTTTTTTTTTTTTTTTTCGTTGAGACAGAGTCTGGCTCTGTCGCCCAGGCTGGAGTGCAATGACACACTCATAGCTCACCTCAACCTCTGCCTCCTGGGTTCAGGCAATTATCCTGCCTCAGCCTCCTGAGTACCTGGGATTACAGGTGCGCACCACCACGCCCGGCTAATTTTTGTATTTTTAAGTAGAGACAGGGTTTCACCATGTTGTTCAGGCTGGTCTCGAACCCCTCACCTCGTGATCCGCCCACCTCGGCCTCCCAAAGCGCTGGGATTACAGGTGTGAGACACCATGCCTGGCTTTTTTTTTTTTTTTTTTTTTTTTTTAGGAGTCTCATTCTGGGGCCCAGGCTGGAGTGAAATGGCAAGAGATCTCGGCTCACTGCAACCTCCGACTCCTGGGTTCAAGCAATTCTTGTCTCAGCCATCTGAGTAGCTGGGATCACAGACGGGCACCACCACGCCCAGCTAATTTTGTCTGGATTTTAGTAAAGACTTTAACAGAAAAACAGGTTTCTGTGTTGGCCAGGCGGGTCTGGAACTCCTGACCTCAGGTGATCAGCCCACCTCGGCCTCCGGGAGTGCTTGGATTACAGGCGGGAGCGACCGTGCCTGGCTGACTTTGTCATGTTTTTCTCACGACTGGGCTGGAGTGACTGGTTTTTGGGAGGGGCAAGTGGATGTTTAATCTTTAACTTTTTCATTGTTTTATTTTTTTAGGGACTCCAGGGCTCTAGCAATCCTCCCGCCTGAGCCTCCTAAAGGATTACAGGTGTGAGCCGCCACCTTCGGCCTAATGTTTAACCTTTTATGGTGACATTGGCTACCGGTGGAAGGTTCCCGGGGTCACAAGTGAACAGCCTGATCACTCCTCACAAACCGGGCACACCCCTGTTCCCAGTGCCCCAGTCGAGAAAGCCCATTTAAAAAAAAAAAAAAAAAAAAAAGGATAAAAAGGCCAGGTGTGGTGGCTCACGCCTGTAATCCCAGCACTTTGGGAGGCCGAGGCTGGTAGATCATTTGAGCCCAAGAGTTGGAGACCACCCTGACCACCATGACAAAACCTCATCTCTACTAAAAATTAAAAAAAAAAAAAAAATTACGTGGGTTGGTGGCAGGTGCCTGTGGTACCAACTACTCAGGAGGCTGAGGCAGGAGAATGGTTTGAACCCGGCAGGTGGAGGTTGCGGTGAGCCAGGATCTCGTAACTGCACTCCAGCCTGGATGACAGAGCCAGACTCCATCTCAAAAAAAAAAAAAAAAGGCTGGACGTGGTGTCTCACACCTGTAATCCAAGCACTTTGGAGGCCAAGGCGGACGGATCACCTGAGGTCGGGAGTTCAAGACCAGCCTGACCAAAAACAAAAAGACAAAAAAAAAATATAAGCATGCCGGGCGCTGTGGCTCACGCCTGTATCCCCAGCTCTTAGGGAGGCAGAGGCGGGAGGATAGCTTGAGCCCAGGAGTTCAAGACCTGCCTGGGCAATATAGCAAGACCCTGTTCTCCACAAAAAGGAAAAACAAAAACAAAAACAAAAAGACAAGACCAGCCTGACCAACATGGTGAAACCCCGTCTTTATAAAAAAAAAAAAAAAACCACAAGTGTCTCGGTGATGAACGCTGCCCAGAGCAACCCTCTTCCCAGTGCAGTGTTTTGCTGGTGTGGATTTCCTTCGTGGCCGGGAACTTCCCTCACAGAAGGGCGTTTGTTCAGACCCAGACC